GCCAACTTAATTATGTCATGTCCCAGGAAAAGTGAGAATTTCAGTTAGAAACTGAAATTAATGGCCTCAGCTTTGGTACTATTTGGGTTTTGTCTGCAGATGCTCATCATGATATATCATAATGGGTAGTAATGGGTAACCATTTAAAGAGGTCAGAAATCTGTTTTTTAAAACTCAGGAAAACTGTGTTAAATAATAATAGCATTGCTTTGTTCTACCTTAGGGTTCTTGTTGCCAACTGCATGGCCATGGTATGTTCAGACTTGTTAATTAGGCTGCAGTATCTTTCTCTTTAGAATTTTAGTATGCTGTGGTTTCCTGTGGCTGTTAAGGGCCGGTAAACTATCACCTGCTGTGCCCAATCTGACCTAAAGATCTGCTTTGGTTGCTTTTATTATAACACAATCGTATCCATTTCTTTGATTGTTCTTTCTGCTCTTTTCACACTCTCTTGGCAGAGTTGAATATTTGCAAAAGACATACATACCATACGACTTGCGAAACTTAAAATATTGGCTGTCTAGTCTTTTACAGGTAACACTTTACCTACCACTAGCCTTAACCCATAAGATCACTGTTGTTTCTCTCTTCTTTCTTCCACTGCTCTCTCCTCTTATCATCCACTGCCAGTCTTCTCTTGTCATCTTCATTGTCTAGTTGTTTTCTTCTCGCTTGTCCTGTTATTCCTGTTCATGCTAATAATTACTGGGGCTGACAGGCCCTTTCTGTCACATCACAGAGCATCTTTGCTTGCTAGTTTTTATTTTGGCCCTGATCCACTTAAGGTTCGGTCTCAAAAGGGTTTCCTGTTGTTACTATCTTTTTTCCTTCAAAAGGGCCCAGAAGAGAAAAGTACAAATTTTGTCTGCATGGAGGAATTGTGTTCTAAGTTGAGCTGTTCCACCTAAGAAGTAGGTTGTGGTTGGGCTTCTCAACCTCAGGCCCTTTGAAAATGCGGGCTCCTTTCCTGTATCAGAGTTGATGGGAATGCACATGTAGCTATTGTTTGCTCCTTTCCATGCAGCCGAGTGCTATAGAATTGTGATGAAGTGACTTGTACTTCAAAAAAAAAAAGGTAGGAAAAAGTAGGACTTGTTTTTTATTTTTATTTTTTGCTGGGATAACAATAGTAAGGAAATTGTTCTTACTAAATACAGTTTGAGTAGAAAGCCATGAAGTTCAAATTGTCTGAATGAAAGTATCTACACTAAAAAAAAAAATCCCTATTACTGAATGAAAGCTATTTCAAATATATTTTTAAAACTAGAAACACTGCATTTTGAGGGTGACAGGAGAGATTAAATGATAAATATAGAAATTATAGTCATAATTTCTGGATAACTGAGTTGTGGAAAGTGTTTTTGTTATTACTCTTTCTGTGGAAGAAGTACGATGTGGGGTGGTAGAAGTACAGGTTTTGCCAGGCTAAACATAACATGCTTTTCCCTGTTTTGTGCAATTAATGAAACAGTAACAGAATTTTTAGGATACTTCTGTAATAAATGATACCTGGGTACATTTTCTTTATAAGGAAGGGAGGCAGAATTTTGGGGTCACTCACTCATAGACGAGGAAGTAAAGAACTCCTTGATATCTAGATGGCACTAGACATAGTGAGTAAGAGGAGCAAGTTTTTTCCATGACTCCATGTGTAGACGGCTCACAAGACTGGGTTGATTGTGTTCTCATATCCTTTTGGAAATTTGCTTTTCTTTTCTGTGAAAGAAATATTGAGCCTTTTCTACAGAGACCTCGTTGGGCATTAAAAAATCATGTTAGAGTTTGGAGAGGCCACCAGGTAGAAATTAAGATAACAAAAGCTTGAGGAGGATGGCAACTCAATGGTTTTCTGGTGTTTTGTGCTGAAGTGAGGCCACTTTCCCTCTCACACTATGGGAGGGAGCAGCCTGCAGTACACCTGTGGACAATCCAAGCCTTCACCACCACTCATGGCTGGTACCATTTATTCCTTGTCAGGAGAAGGCTAGAGTGACAGGCTAAGGAACTCATCCAAATGAGAGCTTGAAGCCTGGGAAGGCTTCCTACTCAAACTTAGTTGAATGATTAATGAATGTATATTCTGCTGTGTTGGTGCATTATTGGGCCAGTTTTCTCATCAACTCTGCCTCAGCTTCTCATCTCTAAAACTAGATAGTAATAGTAATATTCTCCATAATGCTTTTCTCCACATTAAGCGAATCAGTCAGGTGAAACATTTAGAAGTACATGTAGCATGTGAAAAAATAGCATGTGCTGTTTTTGCCTTTAGAAATGCATGCAGTACTTAGTAATGTGGGTCAAAGCATTAAGATGTATTAAAATGTTCAAGGGTTAACTGATAGCCAAGCTTAATAAGAAAATACCTGTAGAGGTTTAAGTTCATGGTAGAAAATAGGTCTTTATTTATCTTTGCTTCATTTTAAACATATATGTATTCCTTGTACTAAGAAAAGGATTGAGAAGGAAAATGTTGAGTGAAAGGCTATTGTGTTTTATTTTTTTATTGCTGCTCCTGGGGCTTGAACTCAGAGCCTGGGCTCAAAGCCTCTTTATGCTCAAGGCAGGCACTCTACCACTTAAGCCAGAGTGCCCCTTTCAGCTTTTTCTGAGTAGTTTATTGGAGATAAGATTCTCATGGACTTTGCTGCCTGATGTAGCTTCGAACTGAGATATTCAGATCTCAGCCTCCTGAGTAGCTAGGATTATAGGTATAAGCCATTAGCACCTGGCTTGAAAGATTACTTTTAACCCCTTAATTGCTTTAAGGCTGCTGGTAGTTTCACCACTCTAGTTCTACAGTGAATATGACCTGGGGTGTTATAACCCTTTTGGATATTTCCCACTGCTGTCTCACTAGCAGTGCCACTAGACAGGAAAACAAGTTGTTGTTTTTTAAATATAACTTTCTAGGAGAAAAAAGTTCTAGTCTGAATACTTAAAATCCTCACCCTTTTCCCCAATACATAGTAGAAATAATTTTCTCTGCAGTGATTGCTCATTTCTTTGGTGCTTTGTGTACGTGCGTGCGTAAGTGTGTGTGTGTGTGTGTGTGTGTGTGTGTGTGTGTGTGTGTGTGTGTGTGTGCCAGTCCTAGGACTTGAACTCAAGGCCTTGGTGCTGCCCTTGATCTTTTTTGCTCAAGGCTAGCAGCATGTATCATTGTAAGTTAAATCATTCCAGAAGCTACACTTTAAAATACAGAATATTGGAGTCTTTATTATACAATTAATAGGCTGCAGGCTGCCAATTGTTACAAAGGCTTGCAGCATGCAAATACATGTAACACAGCTAGGAAACATGCTAAAGAGGAAAGAAATAACAAAAACAATACCAACAAGCCTACTCAGCTCCAATGGAGAGCTGAATTGGGACTCCATGATGACTGGAGATGAGCCAGGAGACAAGACACAGGACATGACCACAGAGACACACATGGCATGGAGTCCAGGGGCTAGGCCGGTCTGACCTAAATAGCTAGGCACAGGGGGCAGATCCTCAGGAAATTCCCAGTCCCAGGCACTAGACTGACAGATTCAGTAACCTATCAGCCAAATGCCTGTCCCTGCTTCCAGGGGTCTGGGAATACCCATTACCTGAGAGGCAGGTGATGGTGGGGGGTCCCTTCCCCCAGCATGAAGACAAGATGCCAGACCCTACCATCCACCATGTGGCCAATATAGCACCAACCAGACCTGGCCTCCTTTGCCTCCTTTCTTCAGTACCACTTGAGCCACATCTATACTTCCAGCTTTTTGGTAGTGAATTGGAGATAAGATTCTCCTGCACTTTCCTGCCTGGGCTAACTTTGAACCACAGTCCTCAGATCTTAGCCTTCTGTGTAGCTAGGATTACAAGCATGAGCCTGATGTGGTTACTTATGCTGAAAATCTTAGCAAGCATTATTTGCTTATATTCTGAAGTAGAGGCCTGGCACCTACCACATTGCTTTGGTATTGGAGACATCTCCAATACATCTATTTATTGAATGGATGCATTTAGGAATAGAGATATATTAAGCAGTAGAATTCACTTGCTTGTACAAGGTTCTGTGCCAGCCCTTGTGATTTTCCCCTCTACTTCATTAAGAAAAGCACATCATTCATAAGGGAGAGCAGCCTATTTTAGGAGCATCTCAGCTTGCTTAATAAAGTGTTCTGTGCATTGCTTTTGAAAATGGATCAAATATTTAGTAAGAGTGTTTCATATAGTGTTATTTGTTCCTCTTGGCACAGAGCTTAGCTTTTGGAGATAGGAACTTTAGAGTGCCATCGAAGTTAGTTCCTATCCCCCTCCTCCAGAATATTTAACATCTCTGATACCATTTCTCCTGTCAAAGCAGTATAAATAGAAGGCCTATGTTGTTCTGTTGAGCGATGCTAGACAGTGGTAGAGTACCAGCTGAGCAAGAAAACCAAGTGACTGTGAGGTCTTGAGTACAAACACTGGTCCCCACTAAGGGGGAAAATAAAAAGCAGAATTAGAGAACTCAGAAGTTTCACATCGCCTTCTCTGAAATTAAAACATAGATTCCAGGTACAAAGAATCTGGACAGAGAGAAGTGACCCTTTCCTGTCTACTGAGTGGCAGCCAGCAGGGTCCAGGTTGGAAAGAACTGGAGGGAGGCCCTTGTTGTCAAGCTTGCCTGCTGCTCCCACTCACTTTTAAGAAGTTTGGAGGGCTGGAAGTGAAAAGAGGGCAAGAAAGTGGGTTATCAGTTCCTTCTGGGAACTTGTAAATCATTTCCTGAAAACTCATTGAGATGTGTTCCAGCACCAACAGTAGAAATTATGTTTGTGTTTTTACCCCCCTTAGAGTGATATTCTATGCTGTTATTCTATTTTCTTTGCTTCTGGGAACAGAAGAAGCTTCTGAGAACAGAAAAGACAATATTACTTTTCTCTGTGTTTTATGTATAAATGAAGAAAAGATTGCTGTAGTGGAAACCAAGAAGTGGCCTTTATGATACATGAAATTCATCAGATACTTTCCTCTCATGACAGGTGATGGAAATGTACAGGAACAGTGGGAGAAGCTGGTAGCTTATAGGAAGCCAAGATGACAAGAGTTTTCCTAAATAATCTGTAAGTAAATTTTTATTAGTATTTTGGAATTCTTTTAATTACTGAATGATTGTCTTTAAGAGGCCATGGTAAAAGGACAGCACAAAATAATTGAAAAGTTTTCTCTTAAAAGTCAATATTCAGACACTTCAGAATGCATACTAACATTTGAGAAATCTTATTTTTCTGTACATCTTTCTTGATAGGGATATGTCACTTTGAGTTGGGCTCATTGGTTTGGTTGGTATAGCAAAAGTGTTTAAAGAACTAAAAGAAGATTCCTTACACCAGGTGGACATTTAAATGAAACTTGGAATGGCCATGTTCAGGTCTCAGGTATTTCTTGGTTCCTATTTCCCACTCAAATAGCTTTTGCAGGTATGTTTTAGAAATAAATATGACTGCACTTGATGAATATGAAGATTAGGTACTTTGTCTAGACCTTCTTCCTATTAATGCTTGTTTATTATCTGACCGTTATTGTGGTTGATTTTGGTTTCATTGTCCCAGTGACACTGCTAGTACATGTGGTAGCATTGTGGAAAGATCAGGTATTTTTGAGTCAGATATCCCAGAGCTGATGTGCTGTTGTAAACTTTAGCAGTTACTCAAGCTTGCAGAACCTCAGCTGACTCATTTGTGTATTGGATTTGATAATAGTTCTCTTGAAATGAAAGTCTAGTCATAGTACTTTTAGTCTGAAATGGACTATCAGTGGTACATTTTAGAGTTACAAGAAATGTAGTTGCTTTCTGTCCTTATGTTTGTGTCATGATTTTTAATTTACAAGCCTTTATTCTGACTCAAAAAACTGGCCAGTTCAAGCACCATGGCTTCTGTGAAATATTGCTGATTAACACTCTACGAAGCAAATGTAGAAAAATGCCAGGTCAGCTCTTCCAGTAGGGCTTGTAATGCTCACAGATTTCTGGAGTGTGACTATTCCCATCATAGCTGATTCTATACTACCAATGAGGCAACAAAAGGAGAACTAGAAAGTAGCACACTAGCATGCCACTGTATAGTTTTGTGACAGCAAGACACAGTAATTGCAAATAGCATCAAGAGCTTGGGTATTAGTGAAATAATTGACAAGTGATGAGTATATGGGTACTGAACATTTGTTATCTTTGTTTTAGTATAAATAAAAACTCAGTGTATATAATCTTTCTTTATATGGTATTGAGGATTAAACCTAGGCAACTGCTCTACCACTTGAGCCATGCCCCCAGCCCTGTATAATTTAACTTTTAACAATAGCTGTGTTTAATAACCACCTTACTAATAATTCCCAGAAATTGATAGTTGGCTCTAGTGGACTGATGTTAGCTGTCTGTAGCACACTGCTAATTGTTGGTTTCCTGTTAAGATATTTTGAAGCTACAGTTTGTCAGTGATCAGTCTCAGCAACAGTGGTGAGTTTGGTTTGGTTGGTAACAGCAAAGTTTGCTTTTGAATCAATACTTGGCATAACCTAAGCTATCATGCCACATGCCTTCTGCAACCAAAGATAAATGCTAAGGCCAATTTAGAATTTAAATCTCTTTTCTTAAAAGTGTGAGTAGAGTTCATTTCAACCAACCACTACGTGAAGCTTTGCCATTGATTCAAAACTTTAAGCTTTATTTGTACAAGCAGAAAGGGAAATCAAGGAAACAACCTCATTCATAATAACCTCAAAAAATACCTAGGAATTAACCTAACCAAAGATGTAAAGGAACTATTTAATGAAAACTATAAACGCCTAAAGAAAGAAACCATAGAGGACACCAGGAAATGGAAAAACTTTCCATGTTCTTGGATAGGCAGAATTAATATAGTGAAAATGGTCATACTGCCAAAATTGATATACAAATGCAATACAGTTCTCATTAAAATCCTAGTGATATACTTACTGAAATAGAGAAAACAATCTAAAAATTCACGTAGAACAACAAAAGACCTGTAATAGCCAAAGCAATTCTAGGCAAAAGAAACAATGCAGGAGGGATCATGATACCGTATTTCAAGCTCTACTATAGAGCCATAATGACAAAGACAGCTTGGTATTGGCATAAAAATAGACTTGAAGACCAATGGAATAGATTAGAAGGTCCAGAAATAAAACCACATACTTACAGCCAGCTGATATTTGACAAAGGAGCTAAAGACATACAGTGGAAAAAGCACACCATCTTCAAATATTGGTGCTGGGAAAACTGGGTGGCCACATACAGAAAACTAAAAGTGTACCCCAGCCTGTTACCATGCACTAACATCAACTCAAAATGGATTAAAGACCTTGACATCAAACCTGAAACTCTGAAAATACTGCAGGACAGAGTAGGAGAGACACAAACTTAAAGGCACAGGCAGGAACTTCATAAACAGAGTCCCAGGGTCACAACAAGTTGGAGAGAGACTCAACAAAGGGACTACCTTAAAATAAAAAGTTTCTGCACAGCAGAACTAGCAACCAAACTAGAAAGACAGTCAATTGGGAAAATATATTTACTAGCAATGTATCAAACAAGGGCCTAATATCCATTATATACAGGGAACTCAAGAAACTAATCCCTCCCAAATCTAACAAACCAATCATTAAATGGGCAAGGGAGCTAAAGAGAGACTTCTCAGAAGAGGAGATAAAAATGGCAAAACACATGAGGAAATGTTCATCATCCCTGGCTGTAAAGGAAATGCAAATAAAAATAACCCTGAGATACAACCTTACCCCAGTCAGAATGGCCAACATCCTAAATTCAGCCAAGGACAAATACTGGATGGGATGCGGAGAAAGAGGAACCCTACTTCACTGCTGGTGGGAATGTACCCTAATATAACCACTTTGGAAAGCAGTCTGGAGGGTCCTCAGAAAGCTAAATATAGATCTTCCCTATGACCCAGCCATACCACTCGTAGGCATCTATCCTGAGCAACAGGAACCAGGATACAAGGACAGATGCACCTGCATGTTCATTGAAGTACTGTTCACAATAGCCAAGATATGGAAACAACCCAGATGCTACACTACAGATGAATGGATCCAAAAATTGTGGTACCTGTATACAATGGAATATTATGCAGCTATTAGAAAAGACAAAATAATGGCATTTGCAGGGAAATGGTTGGAACTAGAAAAAAATCATTTTGAGTGAGGTAAGCCAAGAGCAAAGAGACAAACGGCACATGGTCTCCCTAATAAGTGGTTGCTAAATCCAAAATGCAAGGAGATGTGATAAAATAAACAGGACTTGAGAAACAAAGGACCTCCACTAAGTTTGTCGTATCATTACTAAAAGACCTCATGTTCTTAAACACATATATGGTATATATGCGCACATTTGAGGGAAGTTAGGAAGAGAACACAGAATCAGAGGGAAATGGGAACTGGACACTGATCAAAACAAACTAACCAACTCAAGGGCAGCAATGGGAGGGAGGGAATGAGAAGGAAAGAGGGAACAGCTTACACTGAGCAAAAGGAAAGAAATGTACATATCACCTGATGTGGAAGAAATAGTTGTCAAAAGCTCATAGAATTCACAAACACTATAGACCACAATAATGACAATTTGCCTCATGAAGGTTAAAAAGTGTTTGTGATTTTAAGTATCACTATCTCATAATACTGTGAAATTTGTGAAATTTATGTAATCAATCACAATAAAAAATTATTAAAAAACAAAAAACTTTAATCTTTAATGAAAAGCAAATTTCCCCCAGAGAAGAAAGACCAAACTGAACAGCTTAAATTTCATCTAGCTTGAGTAACATTTTCAAGAGAAAAATGGAGAAAAGAAAGAATGCTGAGATACGTATCTGTGTTTATTCTAGAAACAGTTTCTTTAGTCTTTCTTTTTCTAGTTTGTTCTTTAGAAGAGATTGATTGAAGCCTGGAATTGCTAAGTAACAGCTAAGATTATGGTGCTTGTTTTTATTTTAAATTTCACCCACTTAGTTCTCAAAACACTTTATTAAACCTTAAAATGCCTTGGATATTTCTAAACATTCATTTGTGTCAATTTCCTGAATCAGTCTTACATAATCTTTAAATATTCAATTTCCTTATTTCCTCTTAAAACAAAAGGTATTTATAGTCCCTACCAAATCAGGGAATTATTGCAAAATTAATTCTTGTTCATTTCCTTTGGAAGCTCATGGTTAATATCTGAGCATTTTGCCTGGATTTTGAAAGACTGCCATGAGGCTTAAGTAGTTTGATTGAAGGTATCCTTAGTAACTAAAAACAAACACAGCAGTAAGAATTAATAGAATTATTTTTTTGTCACAGCACCTTTTGACTTATATTTTCATCTTTAGCTAAGGATGAATCTCTTGTTGCTTCTGAACATCCCAAGTCAATAAGAATTTTTTGGAAGTAGAGCTGTGGCTCAAAGTAGTTAAACACTAACTTGAGCAAAAACTAAACTCAGGGATAGTACCCAGGCCCTGAGTTCAAGCCCTCTCCCCTCCAAAAAAAGGATTTCTCTTGTTAGATTGCTGCCAGGACTGCAGTATTCAGATGGGCACATTTATAGTCTTGCATTCTGTCCTGCCTTCTTCGGAATCATGGGTTTTGAACATGGATTCCAGTGCAAATAAAAGAGTTTAAGGGAAGAACATGTTTGACAAGAAATGTACTCACTACCTTATTTATGTAACTATAACCCCTCTGTACATCACCTCAACAATAACATTTTTTTTCTTTTTTTATTGTGGAAATACTGTACAGAGGGGTTACAATTACATGGGCAAGATAATGAGTACATTCCTTATCAAGCATTGTAGCCTCCTCCTTTGTTTCCCCTTCCCATCCTCCCCCACCCTCCCAACAATAAAATTTTTTAAAAAGTAAAACTATAACAGTTTACCTAAGGAATCAGTAATCTCTGCATTGTTGGACTTATTTGCTTCTGTAATATCATTCTGCCTATACTACTATTCCTTTATTCCTCTTTTCTCCCCTCAAACACTACCATCTGTATTTCCAGAACAAGCTTACACATTTTCTCTCTCTCTCTCTCTCTCTCTCTCTCATA